AACAAAGAAACAATGAATGCCAAGTAAACTAAAGTAGAAGGGAGAATGTCTGATGGGATGAATGAGGTAAGACACATCGATTTAGTCATAAAATAGGGTGGGATGTTATAGCCATGGATAGAATCGGCAGGAAGGTAGAGGGTGTACAAGTGGGCTGAAGCAATAAAGTGGGAGGAACCAAGTAGGGAATACAGTGAACGAGATAGTATTGTGCAACAATGGATAAGAAGCTAAAGCATCTTAAGATCCTACATAATGTACTCATGTACACTTGGGGTAAAATAGGGTGGATTCTAAAAGAAGAGAGTTTTTACAATGGATAGGAGATAATGGAAAGAAGTAACAACAGTACAACAAAGTGACTTACGATTTTGATAAGTACGTACCTACAGTAGTGTCAAAAGCAACGATGATATGGTCACTTCGAGATGCATCAGGTAACACGTGGTCGTGCTGACAACCGAATCCATCTAACGTGCAATCCCATTTGCAGGGACAACTGCAGACGGTATCGCTCGCATCTGAAGACTTGTGCGTGTAGAGCCAAACTGTATCGACTGAAGTATTAAGAATGTCCACGCATATCGTGCACGTTCGTACTGTCCCATTTGCGTATACATAATCCTCCACCCCTGCCAGGCTGAAGAAATGGAAATGTAGAGGGACAACTAGATTATATGCTACTAGACCATGCAATGAAGCTCTTTAGTACATATCAACTCATCTAAATGCACTCATACGTAGCCGTGACACAATCCAAATCATAGATCAAGACAGCTCCATCATGAAAGAAGAGACCTAGTGGTAGTGATTTGTGTGATCAGAGTACACAACAGTACAAGAATAAAGGGAAGCATTTTCGACGCACCATGAATTCTTAATTTTACTTGACAAACAAGAAAATCAAGAAAATATAACAATAATGGGAGTTACATCAGAACATACCACGTGAGGTGTTGATGGGTTCCTTGCAAACTACGCAGAGAGTGGAGTGGGTGTAAATATGGTAAGCGGGATGCACCACTCTTGTACAGTCATGCGGGCATGCGATGTGTTATGCTCCCACCTCAGCTCTGGCTTCTTGTCATGAACTGAATCCCTGTCTTGTTACAAAGGGTTTAACGATGGTTTAAAAGGATTAAGGAAGTACAAGAGGTGGTGAGAGATAAAATAGGTTACTGATTTTACCTAGAAAGGTGATAGTCATGACAAAGGAGCTACATGGTAGTGTGATATGAATCAAAGGGGCAAAAATGTGTACTTGGGTAACAAAAATATAAAAACTAGGTGTTAAGACAAAGAGGAAAAGACACTAGATATAAGAAAAGGGCCTACTGAAAGGTTTACGCCAATTACTGGGGGGTAAGAATCGGTCAAGGCACAAAGGTTGCACAAGCGTATAGAGGCAAGCACAAAGTGATAAAAAGGGTCAGAACTAAATAAGAGTAAAATATATGAAACGGGAGAAAACTATCGGATGAAACAAAGAAGGCTAAACATAAGGATAAACGTGAGCAACTATGTGTACACAAGAGAAAACTGCATACAATCGAGCAATGGGAACATGCAGGGAACGTGAACATGTGCAACACTTATGACTTCAGCATAAATTTACACAACTTCATAGATAGGAAAAACATGTAACAACATGCGCAAACAAGCACTCAACAATATACCGCTTACCCCTTTTGCGGAGGGAACATGATCGTGAGAGCACAGATATCGTGGGTTGCTCCAGGGACGAAATCCTCGAGAGTCTCAAAACACTTCACCGCAGTCCATGATCCCTCCGGCCATAAATTCAGATCGATCGAAGAGCCAGCAGAGTCCATCAAATTCAACTTGGCAGGGAACCTTCGATGACCAGCATCCTGAAAGTTATGAGGCTGTACGCTAATGATGATTGCTCAAACCATGAAGTTCGTTGGCTCCTTGCTTTCACGCAGAAGAGACGTAAGCTGAGCAAAGGTCTTGATTGCTGGAACCTGCTCAACAATGTAATGCCAATAATATCAAATCTTAATGTAGTTAACAACAACAATCAAATAAGCTACAAAGCAAAAATTTCACAAAAACATATATAACAACATGTTGAGTAGCAAAGTCAACATCGTGTTCGTGAAAAGAAACATTACAGCGAACGTTGAGCATTGGGAATGATAGTAGAATCATAGCATTATGCTCATACTTATGGAAGTGATAGCAAGTGTGTCACATGCGTGTGTGGATATGAAATTTTGCATAAATTCTCACCTCTAGGAGCGATCGCTAGTCACATGAAAGACGGCCTTCAAGGCAACGCTCAAGTTATTTTAGAAGAACAAATACAGGGAAATGATCACTATAATAAGTCTCACCAACTCTTACATCAACCTCAAATTTTGAACGATCGAGCCATACATGATCAATCAAAGTATTACGTATAGTTGTTGACGATGGAACACATTGAGTAAACGAAAAATTGTTCATAAATTTGATCAAATGCTTTGGAAGAGGCTTCCTTGTGTCAAAATTGAGATCACCAAGAATGATAGTATCTCCCATTGGGATTTTATCCATAGCTTGAAGAAATGAGGAATAAAAACACAGATGAGATGCTTGAGGGTTACGATAAACACAAACAACAAATGTGTTTGGTAAGGATATGTATTGCAAGACAATGATTTGCACTTTATTAAATACTTGATGGTAAATAATAGAAATGTGCTCGTTTTGTATGTAATCAGCATTCCCCCGAAATGGCAATCTTGACGGAACACCCAAAGGTCCTTAAATGCAATACCGTGAGAATCTTTTGGGGAAAGATGGGTCTCAATGAAAACAACAAAATCAAACGATCTTGATGATTTTAATGATGTTAAGATGCACTCTTTTTTTAATGTACGTATATTATGGATGACAAATTTGGCTCGTGCTTGGGAAGTTGCAATTACTTCTACTGGCACTAGATTAATCGCTATTGGGCTCCTACGTAAGCGTTGCATTTCTTTGGTAACTTCGCTATGCACTCGAATACAGTTTGCCGAAAAAGTTTTCCATAAAAAAGAGCTCGATGAGTCTTAAATCTACTTAACACGCGACATACGCTGTATGGGGGAATTTTGCTTGATAAAAATGTACAACACCAGAATCGAATGTGCAGCCTTGACTACGGTGCACAATAATCGCCGCACTTGACCGTAACGGAAATTGTGATCTCGATATTTCATCATACTTTCGGTTGATCGAAAACTAACGCTCAAACCTGACGATTGGAGTATATCTTGTATCATAGACATCCCATATCGAGTACAAATGATGACCATTACGCCGCAATGTCAGCTTCAACTGCTTCGCGGTTGTCACGTGGATTAGGCTATGACTAGCCCCACCATCTACAATAACTTTTTTTTTTACCATTCACCTTGCCTTCGACGAGCACATGGTGATCTTTAGGTTCGCTCCTGTTATTCGTTTGAGTGCGGTCGTTAGCATGTATCGGTACCACAACTTGGTGGGAACGTTGAAGTTCGGGCGTTAAAGCCTCCTCAGTAAGGGGCCTGTCTGCTACAGACTTTTCCCATTTCCCGACTTCTCCTTGTCGTTCTTTTTTTCTTGGGCGCCGTTGGGTAGTACTTAGCTCGGTAACATAGCCTGTGAAATACTTCATCGGGCGCAGACACACCATTGATCGTGGTGTCGGGAAACTGTCCCCGAAAACGACCAACATCTCTGTTGTTCTTTCTCGCCCACTGCTGCAGTGCATCGGCCGCTGACGCCAACTGGACAGCATCATCGAACGTCTTAGGCCGGGACCGCTGCAACTCGTACTGAATATCAAAATGCAGCCCGCTGATGTATTTGTCCCACCTTTCCGCTTCGCTGAGTTCGTCCACTTGGTCCGCAAGTGCCGAGAACGACGCAGTGTAATCTTGAACCGCATTCACCTGCCGCCAGTTGCGCAGCTTCATGGGAGCGTCGTCTGAGGCGGATGAGTACTCAAAACGAGCTTGCAGAGCTGTGCCCCACTGTTTCCACGTGCGAATCGTGGTCGTACCGAATATCGTTTCTGCCCGTTGGTTTGAAGAATCCGAAGTCCCGTCCTTCGCCTGCCGGAGTCCCGATCGCCAACTGACGTCGCCACCAATCCAACGCCGGTCCTCAGAGCAACGACACGGCATAATTAATGCGCACGTCGTCTGCGTACACACTTGCCGCCGTGAAGAATGACTCCATGCTGAACAATCGCCCTTGTAGCGCCGTCGCCTTGTCCGAAGTGTTGAATGGGGGTGGCATGGCCGGCTTGAGCTTAATATTCATCACAGTCACAGTGCGCACGTCGTCCTGCTCCAACTACCGTGCGAGCTCGTCAAGGACGGTTTCGCTCGCCGCGTCGGCTTCTTGCTTGACATCATTCTCAGCGACTCCAGGCGACTCCTGATGCGCTTCACCACGCGTCTCGCGAAGCTCAGTGTTCTCTGTCCAGAGTTCAAACTCGCCATCTGGGCTTGCATTGCCTGCATCTGAGCCATGACCTCGTCTAGCTGGGCCTGAGTCATGATGCAAACGCTACGCCTTTCGGGCAAGCGGAAGGCCGTGGTAAGGAACTGCAGGGGGCACAAACGCTATCGTAGTTGTGTGAGCTAACAACTCTAGCTCACAGACAACCACTTTGCAGCCCTGCAGGGTTAACCACGCCTTGGGAATAAACTAATATGAGAATGCGGGGTGAACCAGGAAAGTAGCTCTGATACGAGATGTTATGAATAATAACCGAGAGTGCGCGGAATAATAATGACGAGTACAAAATGGGAGCCTAGCAGTATATAGCGAGAACTCTAGTTAGGCGACGAGCCCGGGGACTAGCTTGGGTACAGGCGCGGTCGAAAGGTCCGGAGGCGGCGCGAGTCAGCCTCGGGGTCGCCTCGGTTTGGACCGAGCCTGGTCTTCCGAGAGCTTGGGTGTACCGGAATGCAGTACAAGCCGGTAAGGAATAAAATTTCGTACAAGAAACATCCAAGAAACTGTTAGCAGGGAAATGCGAGTAAACCCCGCGAATCCCGCCAAGAGCGAATTTCTTACTACTCGCAAGTTCCGCCGCGCCATGTCCGCATCAGCGCGCGCCGCATCTCTCGCTTGCGCTCCGCTTCTCCGCTCCCGCAACATCTGCACGCTTCCGCTATCCCCTAACCTCGCTTTCTCCCCCGTCCCCTTTTTGCGCGCGTCTCTGCCTGCGCCAACTAGTACCACCTTCCGCGCACGCATTCACGCTGCGGAAAGTCCGCATCTACTGAGTCAGTCTGGGCGCGGCGCAATAGTCGACCGTGTTTTGTTGCGCGGAAGCGCTCTCTCCCCACGCGTTCCGCCAGCGGCGGAAGGCTTGCGCGGAATCTGCGGGACTTCACCACGCTTAGCCACATCCGCAGCTGCTGGTGCCGCCCGTCGGGGGAGCCATCCGCTGAAGGCGGTGATGGCGCAAGCGGGGAATGGTGGAAGCGGAGAGCAGGGGGAAGCTTCGGGGGAGCGGAATGTTGCGCCGTTCGGGGCGTGGGAGTCCCCCATCGGCGCGGATATGGCGAGCGGCGCTAGCCTGCGGTTCGGCGGGGCGATGGTGGATAGCGAGGGGCGACTGGTGTGGGCGGAAGGGCGGCCCACTGAAAAGGGGTGAGAGGGAGAAAGGGTGAGCTGACAGTAGCTGTAGACTGCGCTGCCTACCGTGGCGGATAGATAGCGCGGGACGGCTGGTGTGAGCGGAAGGACGGCCAACAGAGAAAGGGTGAGCTGGCTGCAGCAGACTTAGATGTGACTGTAGGGCGTAGATTGCTTTGAGAAAGCGTGAACGATGGTGCATATAGCGAGTGGTGGCTGGTGTGACTGGAAGGGCGAAACACAGAAAACGGGTGAGCTTCTATTGCCAGGCTAGCGATCAGCCAGTTGGCTCATTGCCACCTGTCCATCTACTTATCTCTCAATTCCCTCCCCCCAATCTCCCCAGTCGGGTGGTGGTGGTGAGAGAGGGTACACGTGGCGCAACCCCATTGGACATCTCCCCTCCCTCCATGAATGTGCGATCTCGCGTGCACGAGTACGGCGGGGGGGCCTTTCTGGTCGCCCCCTCTCCTCCTCCTGCCACTTCGGATGCCACGTCAGCAGGTTGCGGTGTGGAGGGCGATCTGCTGATCTTCTCCAATGGATCCGATCAACGGCTGTACTCGCTCCAGCTGACATCCAGCGGTCCAGATGCAGCCGAGGGTATGTATGTGTGCGTGCTTGGCCCTCTCTCCGCTTGGCGCCCTCTCTGCCTGTGCATAGTGTGATGGTTGATTGTATGCATGCAGGATGGGTGCAATTTTCTTGGCGCCAGAAAAATCGATGGGTGCATAATGCATAATGGATGGCTTGTTCCCACCCACACACTCCCATCCCCCTCTCTTTCATCTCCACACCGTGCTCTCTCCCTCCCCTCTCTTCTGTCTCTTTTGCCCTCCCCAACCCACAGCATCCCATCCCAAACCGCTGACCCCTGTTGTTGAGCCGCCTGGCACTCTGCGATTCGCTGACGGGCGGCTGGACATGCGGAGGCGGCGAGTGATCTGCGTTCAGGAAGGTGCGGATGGAGGGGGGAGGGTGGGGGGGTGGGAGGGTCGGGGAAAAGGTGGGGGGGGAGGGAGATGGGATGGGATGCAATGTTTTGGGCGGCTGGACATGCGTTGGAGACGAGTGATGTGTGTTCAGGAAGGTGAGGAGTGAACGGGAGACTCTTTCAAAGTTGGAAATCGTTTTCTTTCGCAGCGCCTGCATGCATGCCATATCGTTTTCCGCTGCCCTGCTCCATGCGCTTTGGTGCTGTTCTGACAATATCTGCCTTTGAGTCGATTCAGAAGTGTAGATTGTTCCGCCAATATTTTGCGAGTTATCATATTTGCTTGTTTTTCCCTTGCCCCCTTCCGTCCACTGCAGATCATCGCCCTCCATCAGAGACAGCAGCACCCAGGGAAAGCAGCAGCGGCGGCGGAGCTGAGGTTCATACCATTCATACCATTCAGACCATTCAGACCATCGCCATGCCGTCGCCATTCAGACCATTCAGACCTTTTCTTCGTCCCCTTTCCGTGCCTTGCAGATCATCGCCCTCCATCAGAGACAGCAGCACCCAGCGAAAGCAGCGGCAGTGGTGGAACAGAGGAGCATGGGGGGCATGGGGAGCCGAGTAACATGATTGTGGCAGTGTCTCTGGATGGGGATGGGCCGGAAGGTAAGGTGGTGGGAGGCATGGCGGGGAGGTAAGATGCCGGTACAGATGAGCGGGGGGTGCATGGGGAGCCGAGTAACATGATTGTGGCAGTGTCTCTGGATGGGGATGGGCCGGAAGGTAAGGTGGTGAGAGGCATGGCGGGGAGGTAAGATGCCGGTACAGATGAGCGGGGGGGCATGGGGAGCCGAGTAACATGATTGTGGCAGTGTCTCTGGATGGGGATGGGCCGGAAGGTAAGGTGGTGAGAGGCATGGCGGGGAGGTAAGATGCCGGTACAGATGAGCGGGGGGTGCATGGGGAGCCGAGTAACATGATTGTGGCAGTGTCTCTGGATGGGGATGGGCCGGAAGGTAAGGTGGTGAGAGGCATGGCGGGGAGGTAAGATGCCGGTACAGATGAGCGGGGGGTGCATGGGGAGCCGAGTAACATGATTTGGCAGTGTCTCTGGATGGGGATGGGCCGGAAGGTAAGGTGGTGAGAGGCATGGCGGGGAGGTAAGATGCCGGTACAGATGAGCGGGGGGTGCATGGGGAGCCGAGTAACATGATTGTGGCAGTGTCTCTGGATGGGGATGGGCCGGAAGGTAAGGTGGTGAGAGGCATGGCGGGGAGGTAAGATGCCGGTACAGATGAGCGGGGGGTGCATGGGGAGCCGAGTAACATGATTGTGGCGGTCTCTCTGGATGGGGATGGGTCGGACGGTAAGGTGGGTACATGGGTGTACCCTCTCCTCTTCATTTTTTACCGCACTCTTACTGGGGTCCACGTCCACTACCCCATTGCCACACCCATTACCTCCTTCTCTCCCCCCCGTTATCCACCCAAATTATCTGTCATCCCATTCATCCCAAAATTCTCCCTGCCCGTTGCCCATTGCCCGTATGCCCCCCCATCCCCCTCCCACTCCCTCATCTCGCCTCGATTTCAAACCCCCTGCCCCCACCCCCCCCCACACCCCCAAGTCACGCGACTTTTGAGTCGACTCAAAAGTCACCTCGTTTCACATCCTCTCCCTTCACCCCACCAAGTCGGGCTTGTCGTGCTCCCGTCCATCCCACGGACAGAAGAGTAGTTTTGTACCCTCAAAAACTACAAGCCCGACTTGGTGGCGCCTCAAAACTACTCTTCTATCGCCCGCCTCGGTTTCGTACCCTCTCCCCTCAACCCCCCAAGTCGGGCTTGTCGTGTTTCCGTCCATCCCACGTCCTCTCTCTGTCGCCCTCCTCTCTTGCCTTCTGCCCCCCCCCTCGTCCCGCTGCTCCCCAGCTCCCCTGATGCTGGCATCAGGAGCTGATTTCTATGCCTCGCCGCGCGTCAGCCCAGACGGCACCCAGCTGGCATGGGTGGAGTGGAGCCACCCGCACATGCCATGGGAGAGGAGCAGAGTGATGGTCGGCACGTTTGGTGATAGCGGGTGGGTTGTGTGGTGGCTCGTGGTATGGCAGTGCATGGGGCATGGCAACCAGGCGGCTAGCATGGGTGGATTGGAGCCAGCTGCACATGCCGTGGGAGAGGAGCAGAGTCGTGGTCGGCACATTTGGTGATAGCAGGTGGGCTGTGTGGTAAGGCAAGGCAAGGTAAGGTAAGATCAGGTATGGCTTAGAGGCAGCTGGCATGAGTGGAGTGTATGTCAGGGCGCATGCATGTGCTGTCACTGCATGGGCAATGGCAGGCTGGCATGGGTGGAGTGGAGCCATGCACAACGCAGCAGAGTCATGCTCGGCACATTTGATAGCAGTGGGTACGTGCGTTTGGGATGGTATGGGTTGGGTACCAGGTGTCGATGGGAAACCAGTCTGCTGCTGGCATGGGTGGAGTGGAGTGGGGCCACCCACACATGGGAGCTCAGCAGAGTGATGGTTGGGTTGGGGCCACCCACACATGGTTGGGTTGGGGGTTTGGATGATTGCGGGCTTGGCTAACTGCTCGGGCTTTAGTGCAGCCGGCTTGGGGCACCTGGCAGCTTGCCAGGGATGGAGCGCTTAGATGTCACACGTGCATCGATTTCAGAAGACTCTTGAGAAGGTATTGGGGGCATTCAAATTCCTGCACTGCCTGTGTCTTCGACTGACAATGGTGAGCGGTGCAGGCATGCCGCATTTGCCAGGTCTTTCTTCACTCAAAACATAAGGCCTTTCAGCCAGCCCTTCCACATACACCATACCAGCAGCCAGAAATATATAATGTTTTGAGTGAAGAAAGACGTGTCAAATGCTGCATGCGTGTACCCCTCACCATTGTCAGGCTAAGACATAGGCAATGAAGGGAATTTTAAGGCCCCAATACCTTGCTGTATTGCTGCAAGGCCCCAATGAAGGGAATTTTAAGGCCCCAATACCTTGCTGTATTGCTGTAAGGCCCCAATGAAGGGAATTTTAAGGCCCCAATACCTTGCTGTATTGCTGTAAGGCCCCAATGAAGGGAATTTTAAGGCCCCAATACCTTGCTGTATTGCTGCAAGGCCCCAATGAAGGGAATTTTAAGGCCCCAATACCTTGCTGTATTGCTGCAAGGCCCCAATGAAGGGAATTTTTGAGGCCCCAATACCTTGCTGTATTGCTGTAAGGCCCCAATGAAGGGAATTTTAAGGCCCCAATACCTTGCTGTATTGCTGTAAGGCCCCAATGAAGGGAATTTTAAGGCCCCAATACCTTGCTGTATTGCTGCAAGGCCCCAATGAAGGGAATTTTAAGGCCCCAATACCTTGCTGTATTGCTGCAAGGCCCCAATGAAGGGAATTTTAAGGCCCCAATACCTTGCTGTATTGCTGGAAGGCCCCAATGAAGGGAATTTTAAGGCCCCAATACCTTGCTGTATTGCTGGAAGGCCCCAATGAAGGGAATTTTAAGGCCCCAATACCTTGCTGTATTGCTGTAAGGCCCCAATGAAGGGAATTTTAAGGCCCCAATACCTTGCTGTATTGCTGCAAGGCCCCAATGAAGGGAATTTTAAGGCCCCAATACCTTGCTGTATTGCTGCAAGGCCCAAATGAAGGGAATTTTAAGGCCCCAATACCTTGCTGTATTGCTGCAAGGCCCCAATGAAGGGAATTTTAAAGCACCGTCTGAAATTGCTGTACGCGTGAGATCTAACCTCTTCATCCCTGACATCCCTGACATCCCTGACATCCCTGACATCCCTGACATCCCTGACATCCCTGACATCCCTGACATCCCTGACACGCTGTACCTGTGGCTAAAGCTGGCTGCACTAATGCCATAGATGTTAGCCACGGAAATCGACTTTAACTGCGAGTGTGATATCGGGTTAGCAGTGTGGTAAGGTGAGGTGGGGCTTAGAAGCAGGCAGCTGTCAGCTGGCATGGGTGGAGTGGAGCCCCCCGCACATACTATGGGAACGCAGCAGAGTGATTATCGCCAGTATGGGAGATGATTGGTATGTACGGTGTAGCGCAGTGTGAATGGGTATGAGCTGATGCAGACAATAACAGCCAGCTGGCAGGGTGGAGTGGAGCCACCCATGCATTCCATGGGCGAGGAGCAAAGTGATGGCCGGCAGTACTGGCAATGATGGGTGTGTCTGTATATCTGCATGGCATGGTATGACCATTCATGTGCTATGTGCGTCTGAAAACGAAAAGCTCTGAAACACTCACCTTCATTTCATCTAACAAGCCACTGCCTGCCAGCCCTTTCAGTCGTTGTCTTTCCCTCGTTTTGCCGCCCCTCTCCGGCCTCTCCTTCCCTTCAACTCTCTTCACGTTTCTTCCCGTCTCTTCCCTTTTCCCCCGTTCACTCTTTCCATGTGCACTGCCCTGCAGACTCCAGTCTCCTCGCCTCTGTGTGCACTGTGTAGCAGAACAGAAGCAGATGTCACTATGTCCCTTCGCCCCTTACCCTCCCTTACTCTCCCCGTCCTCCCTGTCGGTTTCCCCCTCCTTTCCTCCCCAGCCTCCTCTCCTCAGTGCAGTGTGTGGCAGGAGCGGACGATTCCATATTGGAAGCACCCATGGAGCCCCTATGGTCTCAGGAAGGTAAGTAAGGGGGCGCACGCATGGTTGTGTGGTAACCAGTATATTTGTGGGATTGGACAAGAGGTGGGTACACAAAGCAGGAGCAGATGACTGAATAGTGGAAGCACCGATGGAGCCCCTGTGGTGTGGTCCCAAGAAGGTAACCAGTGAAGTTTTTGTGTGGTAACCATCGTCAACTAGTAGTATAGGTACACATACAGACAGGTATCAGATGACTGCAGTCCGTTGTGAAACCACCCACAGAGCTGGCTGGTCCCAAGAAGGTGAAGCGATGGAGAGCATAGGAATCTGGTAACCAGTATGTATGGGGATGCCAGCAGATGATAAGTGGCTGGCAGGAGCAGACGATAATTTTGGGTGGTAACCTGGTGTAAGTGTGGTAACCAGCGAGTGTTACAAGTGGCACCGGCTGAATGTGGATATGGCAGATGATTCCAACACGGAAGCACCCTACACTGAAGCTGTCGCAAATCCCCTCACCCCCCTGCCTCCCCCCTCTCTCCCCTCTTCCCCCCCCCCCCCCCCCTTTCAGGTAATGTCTACGTCCTCTCGGGCCGCTATTCCGGCTTCTGGTCTCTGCACCGCTGGGAGAATGGGCCCCCTTCCACCCCTATTCCTCTCCTTCGCTCTCCCCTCCCCACCTCCCCCTTTCAGGCGATCTCTACTTCCTCTCAGATCGCTTTTCGGGCTTCTGGTCTCTGCACCGATGGGTGGGTGTTTTTTGCTCAGGTGTTATCTGGTTAGGTGTTATTTGCTTGGGCGTTAGCTGCTTAGGTGTTATCTTCTCATGTGTTATCTGTTCAGGCATCACCCACCCCCCCGCTTCCCTTGCTTCCCCCCTTCCCCCTCCCCTCTCTCCCTCCCGCAAATTCTTACGCTGTCTTCCATTACCCTCTCGTTTGCATCATATTTCCCTACCGTTTGCTTTTAAGTTTCTCATCACATTCCCTGCGCTCCCTGATGTAGAACAACCCCGCATCAGCTACAGTAGAGGCAGTGGTTGGCAGACATCCCTGTCTGTTGGGGTGCGTTAACCATGGTGTCTCATGGTGGAGGTTGGGGTTTGGAGTCATCCTCCCCTCTCCCCCCCCCATCACCACCCCCACACTCCTGTGTGCAGAACCCTGCATCGGCTACAGTAGAGGTAGTTGCAGAGATGCCGAAGCAAGACGGTGCCGAACTGATGGTGGAGGTTGGGGGACCCCTCTGGGTGTTTGGCAATGCGAGCTATGCGTTTATACCTGACAGCCCTCACCACGTCGCTGCTATATGCCAGTAAGTTGCTCTTGTGTGCCAGTAAGCCACACCAACAGTGGAGGCTGGGGGACCCCTTTGGGTGTTTGGCAACGCGAGCTACGCGTTTATATATACCTGGCAGCCCTCACCATGTTGCTGTCATATGCCAGTGAGTTATTTTTATGCTTGTATAAGCCCATAATCTACACCACAGTGCTTGCATGTGTAAGCGAGTTGTGTTACATCAGATTACATGCTCTTGCCGCCAATTTACACTTCCCTGCCGTCCCATCTTGTCCATCCCATCCTGTCCATCCCATCTTGTCCATCCCATCCTGTCCATCCCATCTTGTCCATCCCATCCTGTCCATCCCATCTTGTCCATCCCATCTTGTCCATCCCATCTTGTCCATCCCATCTTGTCCATCCCATCTTGTCCATCCCATCTTGTCCATCCCATCTTGTCCATCCCATCTTGTCCATCCCATCTTGTCCATCCCATCTTGTCCATCCCATCTTGTCCATCCCATCTTGTCCATGATCCATGCCATCCCATGCCATCCCATCCCATCCCCCACCATGCACAGAGTGAAGGGGCAGTCTCAGCTGGCCATCATCAACACCCTCACTCGCTCCTTCACACTCACTCCTCCCTCCGACCCTCCTCTCACCCAGATGTCACACCTGGTAACCACTCACCCCCACGTGTAACCACTCCCTTCCTTGCTACCACAATCATGCATCCAGCAGCATCGCATGGCATCCTTATGCAGTTTCAGGTGTATCTTGAGTTGACTCAAAATACAGCGTGAGTGACATCCCTTAGCAGTTTCAGGTGTATCTTGAGTCGACTCAAAATACAGCGTGAGTGACATCCCTTAGCAGTTTCAGGTGTATCTTGAGTCGACTCAAAATACAGCGTGAGTGACATCCCTTAGCAGTTTCAGGTGTATCGAGTCGACTCAAAAGACAGCGCGAGTGACATCCCTTAGCAGTTTCAGGTGTATCTTGAGTGGACACAAAATTAGACATGATTATATCGCGTCGCATCCCATTGCATCACCTCGCATCGCATATATCGAGATATGCTATAGCGATATTTTTTTCCCCTGAAAGAATATTGCGGGATGCGGTGCATTTAAATCGCGCGATATTTTTTATCGCATTTATATCGCCGTCATCCTGCAGCGATATAATGTGATATGCGATATTAAAATATCGCATGCGATGTCAAGCATCGCTTGCGATATCTGTGCGATATCTACACGATATCTATGCGATCTTTTAACATCACATGCCCTTTTTTGGGGCCTGAAAACCGCTTTTAAACCATGCTTTTAAATGCGATGCGACGTTAAACTGCATAGCGCGATAAATCGCTATATTTGCGATATTTTTTTAAGTCGCACCCAAAATACGATGTGCAATATCAGATTTCTGGGAAAGTACCGCAGCGATGTGATACTATATCACGCGATATAAAATGAGATATGGAGAAATGCGATGCGATATTATATCGCATCGCGTTTTAACCATGCCTACTCAAAATACACCATGAGTGACATCCCTTCGCAGTTCAGGTGTATCTTGAGTCGACTCAAAATACACCATGAGTGACATCTAGACATGGTTAAAATGCGATGCGATGCGATATCGCATCGCATTTTGTCATATCCGCGTGATATCGCAGCGATGCGTTCTGTTTTAAAAATTGAAATCGCATATCGCTTTTTAGGGTGCGATGTTACAAAATATCGCACACATGAATGCGATATATCGCGCGATGCGATTTAATATCGCATCGCATTTAGGGGTCGGAGGAGAAAAGCAGAACGACAAGGCCGACTTTCCTAGGTGCGCGAGGAACTAGGTGAGTGAAGTTTAACGGGAGAATGGGATATCGTAGCCCCTCTCTGATGTAAAGCGTGTTAGAGGGGCAGGGGTTGGATTCCGTAGATGTGGAGGAATGTAGTGCGGTTTAAGTGTTGGAAATTGGTTGGACTTCCAACCAATTGACTTAGTGGGGGTCGAGATTTCAATCAACCTCCTAAATCCCTTTAACCGCACACCACCACATTCCATCCACCACCGCCCATGTCAAAATTTGAACCTCCAACCAACTCTCTTCCCTCAACCGCACTGCACTCCTTTTCAACTAGAATTTCCAACCCTTCCTCTCCAAGCTCCTCACAAACACCTCCCCGTCAATTACGCCAACCCCAAACAGCCGCGCACAATTTCCGCACGCCATTACAACCAGAGAACCCTAATTTTTGCTAAGTTCAGGGCCCGCGCCCATGTTCCCCCCCCCTTTCTGCCGCAATTCCGCAACGCGATATGCGGATGTATGGCGCGCGAAATTTTAATCTCGCATATCGCGTTATATCGCGCTGAAAAATCCGCGATAACTGCACGATATCGCAAAAATCGTGCGATATTATCGCATCGCATCGCAGCGATTTTTTACTTAAAAGAATAAAAATTGCAATCACAAAATGCGATAAAATGCGATGCGATATACCCATGTCTAGTGACATCCCTTCGCAGTTCAGGTGTATCTTGAGCCGACTCAAAGTACACCATGAGTGACATCCCTTCGCAGTTCAGGTGTAACTTGAGTCGACTCAAAATACACCGTGAGTGACATCCTTTCGCAGTTTCAGGTGCATCTTGAGCCGACTCAAAATACACCATGAGTGTGACATCCCTTCGCAGTTCAGGTGTATCTTGAGTCGACTCAAAATACACCTTGAGTGACACCCCTTCGCAGTTTCATGTGTATCTTGAGCCGACTCATAATACACCATGAGTGACATGACATCCCTTTGCAGTTCAGGTGTGTCTTGAGTCGACTCAAAATACACCATGACTTACATCCCTGCACAGTTTTGGCATTCCTTCCTCCATTGCTGTAGAATCATCACCTGTAAAATTGTTCCCAAATTCTGGCTCGTTCATCAATGAAAGTTGTTCCTAGGGATCATCACGCGACTTTGATAGAACACCAGCTCCGTTCTCCCACGTCCTCGCATGCAGGTGGCTGGCAAGGATCGTCTGTTTGTGTGTGCCGGCGGCCCCTCCACTCCCCTTTCCTTCTACGAGGTAATGACTCTCATTGTTGAAATTTTAGGGGGGGGAAAACCAACAAGCAAAAATAAAAAAAGACATTCACACTGCTAACGGTTGTGCCCGTCTCCCAGTTCTTATTTTCCTGTTTTAAATGCTTGATTTTCCTAACGTTTTTTAGTCTCCTGCTTTTAGCTTTCTTTCGCTACATTCTCCTCATATGCCACTACGCTATTCCCCTTGCCACTCGTCACTAGATGTGCTGCTATGGTTGAAACTTCAAAGCAGCTGTCGACTCACAGCGGCCGGCTGGGAACCATCTCCAGAAATCACACTAAGATCCACCCACCCCACCCATCCGTACTGCACATGGCATAACTAGAAATTATCCTCCCCCCTATCCGTGCATCAGCAGCCATCAATACCGCCTCTCATATCCATGCTATCATCCTTGTTCTTTCCTTTCTCCCCATGCTATCTCATGGCACCCCATCCCACAATAACAGCTGAAGCCATCTCCGGACATGGCATCTCTGCATGTCCTCCTCCCCCCGATCCGAGCATCAACCGCCATCGACACTGCCTCTCTCACCCCCTTCCTCTCCTCGCCTCAATGGATCGAATTCCCCACCACCACCCCTGGGCAAGAGAACACCCACAGCGTAACCCCCCGCACGGCACACGCTCTCTTCTACCCGCCAAAGAACGGGAATTTCCGGGGTCCTGATGGATCCCTGCCCCCCTTGCTGCTCAAGTGCCATGGGGGACCCACGGGTTGCCTGGACTCCGCTCTGCGCCTGCCGCTTCAGTTCTGGACGTCAAGAGGCTTCGCTGTTGTGGACGTCAACTATGGCGGCAGCACGGGTGAGTACCCCCTCCTGCCCCTGCTGCTGCTGGCTCTGCTGCTGGTGATGTGCCTTGGCGGGCCCAGAGGGTGTCTGATGAGCCAATGGCAGTGTGGCCTTCGTGTGCTCCACGTCAGCCACCTGGCATGTCGTGCTTGCCTCTTTTGTGCGCCTTGCTGGCAGGCAGTGCTGCTGACGTGTCTCCCATGTATAACTGATCACCGTTGAGGTTTTGATTTGTATCAAGGGAGCATTCTTATATATCATCATATTTTGACATGTTTGTATCATCTTAATGGGTGCTTCTGGTGTCACTCGCTTTCGTTGCGGTGGTCTGCATGCAATGCAACCGTGCGATAGTAGTGCAGCTGTGAGACGTCTCAAAACTACATGTCTCAAAACGACATGTCTGTCCTTTGTTACCGTGTCCTCCATCCATGCAACCCTTGCGTGCATTCCTTCCACATGGTCGCTCACCAGATGACCTTTGATTCGACTCAAAAGGCATCTCGCTCGCCCACCAGGCTATGGGCGTGAGTACTGGAAGCGGTTGCATGGGCAGTGGGGAGTACCTCATGTGCTTTCGCTTTCCCTCCCCCCCTCCCTCCCTCCCTCTTTTCCTGCAACCCTTTCTTGTGTGTTCCCTCCTCGCATGCGGCCTTACCACGCCCACCAGGCTATGGGCGTGAGTATTGGGAGCAGTTGCATAGGCAGTGGGGAGTACCTCATGCGCTTTCCCTTTCCCTCCCTCCGTCCCTCTGTTTCCTGCAACCCTCCTTGTGTGCCCCTCCCATGCACCCCTCCCATGCACCCCTCCCATGCACCCCTCCCATGCACCCCTCCCATGCACCCCTCCCATGCACCCCTCCCATGCACCCCTCCCATGCACCCCTCCCATGCACCCCTCCCATGCACCCCTCCCATGCACCCCTCCCATGCACCCCTCCCATGCACCCCTCCCATGCACCCCTCCCATGCACCCCTCCCATGCACCCCTCCCATGCACCCCTCCCATGCACCCCTCCCATGCACCCCTCCCATGCACCCCTCCCATGCACCCCTCCCATGCACCCCTCCCATGCACCCCTCCCATGCACCCCTTCCATGCACCCCCTACCAGGTTATGGGCGCGAGTATCGGGAGCGGCTGCATGGGCAGTGGGGAGTGGTGGACGTTGATGATGCATGCAGCTGCGTTGAGTACCTGGTAAGTACCTGGTAAGCACCTGGTAAGTACCTGGTAATTACCTCATAAGTACCTGGAGAGTACCTGGTAAGTACCTGGTAATTACCTGGTGAGTACCTCATAAGTACCTGGTACCAAGTGTTTGCATATGGTAACCATGTGGAGTACTGAGAGAGCAATAGGAGCTGCTGCATGGGCAGTGGGGAGTGGAGCATGTTGACGATGCATGCTGCTGCGTTGAGTGCCTGGTAAGTACCTGGTAACCACCTAGTAACTGCCCAGTGGTAGCAACCTTGCATTTCTCGAAACCATAGTAATACATGGTAACCATATCAAGTAGCTGGTAACCATCAAACGGTAACCATCAAACGGTAACCATCAAACGGTAACCATCAAACGGTAACCATCAAACGGTAACCATCAAACGGTAACCATCAAACGGTAACCATCAAACGGTAACCATCAAACGGTAACCATCAAACGGTAACCATCAAACGGTAACCATCAAATGGTAACCATCAAACGGTAACCATCAAACGGTAACCATCAAACGGTAACCATCAAACGGTAACCATCAAACGGTAACCATCAAACGGTAACCATCAAACGGTAACCATCAAACGGTAACCATCCAACGGTAACCATCAAACGGTAACCATCAAACGGTAACCATCCAACGGTAACCATCAAACGGTAACCATCAAACGGTAACCATCAAACGGTAACCATCAAACGGTAACCATCAAACGGTAACCATCAAACGGTAACCATCAAACGGTAACCATCAAACGGTAACCATCAAACGGTAACCATCAAACGGTAACCATCAAACGATAACCATCTGAGCGACTGCACAGGCAGTGGGGAGTGGTGGACGTTGATGATGCATGCAGCTGCGTGGAGTTCGTGGTAAGTGCGTCACTGAGTAACCAAGAACCATGTGACTCACAACCTCTCACCTCAGCGCATGCCACTCAATGCCACAAGCTTGGAGGTTCTTTTGGTAGAAGTCAACTTAACAATGATCGGAACCATTAATGTTCAAATATTGTGAAGTATAGTTGAAGAGCAGAGGAGTGTGGATCTTGAAGGCAGAACCAAGAAAGGTAATATTGATGACTGCGATGAGCAAAAGAATGCTGTCCCCATTCTGTATGGAATGCTGCCTGGTTCGCAGTTGCTGTACACGGCTTACTCCTTGTTTGTCGTGGAAGGGAGGAAAGCGCATCGTTCAGAAAATCAGTTGCGATAAATGCCACGGATAATGGGAAACCCAGAAATAATTGACTTCCAGAACGGTTTATGGTGCATATGAAGTCAAATTTGGCTACCATGCCATAAGATTTCGTTTAATTGCATACCAAGACAGGAATGATGTCAGTAGGTGTAAAAAGTTGGTGAATGCAATTATTGTGCCCAAGGAATTTCCAACTCCAAGGACGAGATTAGGGTAGCCGCATGGGCTCCAAGGTTGGTGGCACAGCATTTCCAGCATGAGAAAATTGCACTGACAACCGCTTAAAGTACTCCAACGGTCTTCCAGCAGTTTTAATGGTTTTCTCGTGCTGGAAACGCTACGCCACCAACCTTGGATCTCGTGCCGCTACACTAATCTCTTCCAATGTGAGAACCACCTATGGAAATGCAAAAAAAATCACACAGAAATCGCGTTCACCAACTCTTCACATCTGCCGTAGACATGAGCAAAACCGGGTAATTACCCGACCCGACCCGGTTTTGCCCTACCCGCAGTCGGGTCCGGGTCGGGTCGGGTCGGGTAATTTCCGGGTAATGTTTGGAATTAGGTTACCCGACCCGGCATTTAAATTCCGGGTAATTCAGTACCCGTGTGGCGGGTCGGGTATACCCGACCCGGTTTTTATTAAAGTCGGGTAATATTACCCGACTATCCCTAGGTGGCTGTACAACTTAGCAGTAAATGCTACTCTAAGCTAGAACCTGATGAGAATGCATCTTAGACCCTTTTGACCGCGTTGTTCAAGTTTAGGGGAATGAAGCAACTCTACCAAGATGCATTACACTCTACCAAGTAGTGTTCGAGTGTGTTTGTAGCTCGCTTCATGAAAGCGTTCGAGGTAAGTAGCATGCAAACCAGCACACCTGTCACTGCAACAAACATACCAAGGGGAGTTTAAGCAAACCCACTATGTGACCAATGCCCCTCCTCCCTCACAGCCCCTCGTCATCACCCTCAATACACACCTCCCCTGACCCCCCACCCTGATGTACCATTGGGAGTTTGGCGTCTGCGTGCTGCGTCATCCATGACTTGATAGTCATGGATGCGCGCACCTGAGCAGGGCTCAACCGATGACGCTGCCAGCTGACAATGTTTCGGCCCTGGCTAAACGACCGCTCACTCGGTGCCGAGGTTGCAGGGATGGCAAGGTAATCGCGAGCCATGGCTTGCAGCCCCGGCAGCGAGGTGCGCGAGCGCCACCATGTGAGAGGGCATTTGTCCATGGCCAGCCTCTGCTCACCCAGATACCTCTCCACCTCATCCACCTCCTGCACACCCGCCTCCTCATCCATCAGGTCCATCTGCGAGCCAAGCAAGTCCGTCAAGCGCCCCCCAGTGGCCCTCCTGTCACCCTCCTGTCCGAGCCTACTCTCCCCCTCCCCACTCGTAATGCCAGAATTCGTGCCCTCGTGCCCTGTGCCCACGGCTCGGCGGCGCTGCTCGTCTAGGTACGACTGGAGGCGAGAGCGCACCAACGCCTTGACATCCGCCTCGCTCACATCCTTGACTACCCTAGGTCCATCAGCAACCGCCGCCACCAGTGTCGGGTTCGCCCCCTCCCACCTCTTCAGCTTGAAGTATGCGTTCTTGAACCGAGGGTCCAAGAACGTCGCCACAGCTAACTCGTCACTAATTCCATACAAATACTTCTTCAGGACCACCAGCCCCTCCCTGTCCATCTCCTTGCGCAGCGCGTTGGTGCTCGGGTTGTGGAACGAGGCCTCGAGGGTATCTATGAGGAGGTTAAACTGTGGCACCACCGCAGCGGCCGTGGGGTACAAGGACCCCTCTGCCGCCGTGGTGATGTCATTGAATGGTTTCAGGAACTCGGCCAGAACCTCAGCTACCTCCCAGTGCGCATCCCCCAGCTTGCACCGGGCCGCCTGCACCTGTGCCCGCCTGGGAACACCAACCTGTTGGGTGCGGGCGGAAGGGTGGCCGGGAGGGGTACAATGGGGCGAGGATGTGAGGAAATCAGCAACACCATGCAGATAGAGGACTACAATTGAACCGGGAAAGAGCTTGGACTGTGGAACGATACGAATGATGGGGAAATGGTAAAGTCAAGTACCTCAGGCCGGGAGAAGAAGAGTGTGAGCGCTGGTTTCAGCTTCAGTGCGCGGGCAACCATCTCGTAAGACGACCCCCAGCGAGTGGGGGTGTCATTGACCAATCGGAGAACCGGGGTGCCGGGCGGGAACACAAGCGCCTGCTCCGCCTCAAACATGGGGGACCTGGTAGATGACCAGCCAATGTAAGACGCGAGCTCCCTCATGCGGCAGAGTGGCTCTGCCACTGCTGGCAACCCCAGAGCCCGCTGCACTGCAAGGTTTAGGATGTGCGCCAGACACCTTGGGGTGGGTCGGGGGGGGAGTTGTTTGGGGTGGGAAGATAGGTATAAACCCATACCATGGTGCACATGTGGCATGTCATGCCATGGTGCACATGTGGCATGCCATGCCATGGTGCACATGTGGCATGCCATGCCATGGTGCACATGTGGCATGCCATGCCATGGTGCACATGTGGCATGTCATGCCATGGTGCACATGTGGCATGTCATGCCATGGTGCACATGTGGCATGCCATGCCATGCTGGACATGTGGACATGTGACAATGACATGCCATGCCATGGTGCACATGTGGACATGTGGCATGCCATGCCATGCCATGCTACGGCGACCCACCTGAAGAAGAATCGAGGGTTGATGACGGCGACAGCCCGCGCCTCGGGGGTGTTAGGATCGGCAGTGAGGATCTTCAGGGCCTTCACGTTGTTCTCGGCATTGTCCGTCGTGATGCCGAGCACGTGGTCATTCAGGCCCCAGTCTGCAATGATCCGCTCCAAGGTTTCTGCAATCATCACGCCAGTGTGGGACCCCTGCAGCTCCTCGAACTCCAGCAGCGCCACTCGCAGCTGGAAGTCCGAAGTGATCCAGTGGGCTGTGACGGCCATGAACGAATCCTGGGCTGGGCTAGACCAAATGTCTGTGGTCAGTGACACCTTCCCCGCTGCCCCGTCCCCGATGATCTCCTGGTGCAGCTGCTCGCGCGCACCCTCCCTAGTCAGTAGCATGTCACGGGCCAGGCGGAAACGAGAGCCTAGCAGTTCTGCGGCCGGCGGGTTCAGGAGTGCAGTATATCGACGGAACTGTGGGGTGGGGCGGGATGGGGTTAAGGGCAGGTACACGCGGATGAGGAACCCCGAGTCTCTGTCGTAGGCATGGAGTCAGCGCACACGACGGATGACGATATGACTAGGCACAAAGGGCTGGTAAGCACCACCAAGTGTTATGACTCACCGAGGGCCGGTCGACGAGGCGGAAGGGCAGGCATGCGTCGGCGAACAGCTCAACCAACGCCTGCCGGAGACGCTCCTGGGACACCCGCCGCGTGAAGAACTGGCCGATGACGCGCTGCCCACGCTCGGCCGTGGGTGTCCCGGTGCCCTCACGTAACCCCGGGATGTTAGGATACGCCGCCACATGCTCCCACGGCTCGGGCCCATCCGGAGCACCCGTGTATCCGCCGGGGGGGAACTCAAGGCCCAGCTTCTTGTCCGGGGCTGTAAACTCGCGATGCCATATCTGGAGATGAGGCATGTGCTTCGCTCGCACATGCTTCCATCCGGTCGACGTACTGCTCCGGTCCCAGTAGAACTCCTCCTCGCATACCTTACAGACACGCGAGGCATCACCCTCCTCCGGCTCATAAAACATCCCCTGCATCAAGCCAGGAATGGTACCCCAGTAGCCTGGAACAGGTTCGCCATCCTCCCCCACCCGCGTCCGCTTCACCCGCCCTGCACCGGTCCCTGCAGCCCCTCCCCCGCGCCCGGTTGCGCCCGCCCGACGGGGAGTCGCCCCAACACCCCCATCTCGGGCATCCTCCGCAGCTTCCATTTCACGTCCCTCTGCACTCCGCCCAAGACCCCTTGCGGCCCCTCTGGGACGGCCGCGCGCAGCACGCCGCCCTGCTCCCGCACCCCCCCCCTGAACCGCCATTGCCCGGCCCTTAGGACGCCCTTGGGGTCGGCCCCCCTGGTTTGCGGCTCTCGGGCGACCCACCGCCTGCGTGGCAGGGGATGCATCCTCTCCTGAAAGATCCACCACGTCGTCGGCACCCGGCTGCCAATCCTGATCACCACCACCACTGGGACGCTGCCCAACCCGCTGCCCTCCGCCCCCACCTGGCAGAGCGCCTCCCTCACCGGGCTCCACCGCTTGCACGTTCCCCTCCTCTCCGACCCCACGAACCCCACTCCCCAGAGCAAAGCTCTGGTCCTGTGCGGGTACAGGGAGACCTCCAAGGGAGGCGCCTTGTATGCGATTGCTGGACTGCACTCCCCCCTCCTCAGCCGTGGCGACTCCTCCTTCGGCGGCCAGATCCTGGTCAGCCATAGAAACCCCGTCCCAACTGTCGTACAGTAGCACCATGACCGAACTGTCCGTCAATCCCTAAACGCGATTTCAGTGTATTCTACGCTCTAACTGTAAGTGGGGGTGACGAAACCCTAAAACGGACGGCTAGGCAGCTAAAATCGCCAAGGTGTAGCCCTTGTCTTCTACACTACCCTAGGATTCGTTAAAAATTGAAGCGGTTTGTAGTAGACCCGCTGCGGAATGCTCCTACATGCACGTTAGGGTAGGCTTAGGTTGAACGAAACTGAGAAACAAAATAGTCGCGGGAAATTTTGACCCTATGGTCGAAATTTCCCAACCACCGCGAAACTTGACGTGCTGGTTGCCGTCGGGTAATTTTGTGACCCGATATCGGGTCGGGTACCCGCGACCCGATCTCGGGTAATAAACCCGATGTCGGGTAATGCATCCACTACCCGGCGGGTAATAAATTACCCGACATTTCGGGTAATTTCCGGGTAGCGGGTATGCATTACCCGGCGCTATTACCCGACCCGACCCGGCCGGGTAATTTGTCAGAATCCTATTACCCGACCCGGCCAAAATGTCGGGTCGGGTCGGGTACCCGCGACCCGACCGGGTAAAATGCTCAAGTCTAATCTGCCGGCATCATTCCTGTCTTGGTATGTACTCTAACAAAACATTATGGCATGGTAGGCAAACCTGACTTTGAATGTACCATGATCCGATTCATATGTTGAAAGTTTTTTAGTTTCCCGCTGTCCGTGGTATTTATCGCATCCGATCTTCCCAGCGGTGCTCCTTCCTTTCTTCCACGACAAGCAAACAGCAAACCGTGTAGGACTTTCCCCGAGCGTCTACCACCGTGTGCTGACAGCGAACCTTTGCTAAACAAGCATGCCTCAGTCGAGATTCAGATGGTCAAGCTTGAGACGGACTACAATCTTTTTTTGTTCGATTTTTTTTTTCCGGCCTGTTAAAACGGTTGAGTTGGCCCCGTTTTTTTTTTTCCTTAATGCGGCTGGTATTGAGATTTCTCAAGAATCAACTGCAACTGTTAAATTCATCCTATTCTTTTCTAAGACCCAGTCCAGCGAAAAACATGGCACCAATGCAACCACTGTTGGGTTTACTTAATCTCAAACCATTCGACCTTGCCGCTCTCACTCCACACTATAATATCAGGTGCGTGCAGTGCAGGGCTCGTGGATGGCACCGAGGTGGCAATCGGCGGCGGGTCATCAGCAGGATGGTTCACCTTATGTGCACTTGCCCCTCTTCCACCCATTCCACCCACCCTATTGTTGCATCCATCACTATCACGCCCGTTCAGGGCTAGTGGGATGGCACCAAGGTGGCGATCGACGGGTCGTCAGCAGGGAACTCACCCACCCTCTGTAGACGTGGGCATGAGCCTGGCTCGGCTCGGCTCGTTTTAGGTCGAGTCGAGCCGACTCGCCGTCGAGCCGGGACCCCGAGATGCCCGGCTCGGCTCGTCCCCATGTTGACGAGCCGGCTCGGCTTGGCTCGCCTTGCTGGTTTTTAGGGGTTAGTGGTTTTTGCGGACCCCTGTTTGCCAGCTTTGACTAGGTCCGCTGTGGGGATTGAGTTTGCCAAGCCCTACATGAACTCCTAATCTAGACCAGTTGGTGCTTTGAAGCTAGCTAAGGTGCGCGCAACGTACAAACGATGTAGTTGCTGGCTAGGGTTGGTGGGATTGGGGTGGGGATGGCGTGGCACTAGTCTGTGAAGAGAGTGTTTCATCGATCTACAAACTGTACCCACGCGAATCCCCCCAAATCCTGAGGCGCGAGCCACTTGGCTCGAAATCGAGCCAGGGGCGAGCCGGCTCGCCCCAGCTCGCCGTAAAAAATGGTGACGAGCCGAGCCGAGCCGGCTCGGCGCGCCTCGAGCTGGGTACAAAAAAGAAGGCTCGGCTCACCTTTTTGGCGAGCCGAGCCGAGCCGAGCCGGGTGTGGCTCGGCTTCTGCCCAGGTCTACCTCTCTGCTCTCTCACCTTGCTTCCACTCATCATTTGTGCATCCGTAAGGAGTCTATTTTTAAGGCGCCTAAAAAATGGACCCCTCTGCTCTCTCCCCTTGCTCCCACGCATCATGTGTGCATCCGTATCTGTGTACTCCTCTCTCCCGCAGGTCCATTCACGGCTGGTCGACAACGCTAAAGTGGCAATCGACGGGCTGTCAGCAGCAGGAGACTTCACAGCCCCGTCTCTCTCTTCTCTATCCTTCGCCCCATCATTTCCGCACCCCTACTCCTCCCCACTGCAGGTCCGTTCAGGGCTGGTCGATGGCTCCAAGGTGGCGATCGACGGGTCGTCGGCAGGAGGCTTCACCACCCTCTCTGCCCTCACATTCCGTTCAGTCTTTAGAGCTGGGTGCTCGTTATATGGGGTAAGGCACGGAGCAGTGCAACACTCCGCGCCATCTTCATTTCAAGCCCTCATCGCCGGCTCTGTCTTTGAAATTCTTACAACTCACCCTCTGTGCTCGGGGATATGGTGCAGTGACCTTAGGTGCCCAGGAGTTTGGTACTCTGGTAGCGCATTACTTACTGGCTAATCAGCTGGGATACAAGGGCGTGTTGCACTGGTGGGCCAGTGTGCGCACTCCCATCGGGCCATTGCAGACTCAATATGAGACCTGTTGCACATCCCTTATTGCCACGTTATGGAAGACGCCGTTTAATTGCAGTTTTGGAATTCACCGTTTTCCATGTTCGTCAGATTGGCGATCTGGAGGCTCTGGCTCTTATGATGCACAAGTTTGAGAAGCACTACACCGATACCCTTGTTGGTGAGTTTTTTTCCGAAAGCACTTTACTAACACTTATTGGTGTGTCGCTTGCCAGTGTTCCGCACAAGTGTACTCATTGATATGCCATCTGCCATCAGTAATTGTGTGTGTGAAACTATCCGCCCTTTTTCTTCTTCTTCTTCTTCTTTCCTGGAGAGGATGGTCAGTCAATCGCTGCGATCGTCGACGGTGCATGATTGGAAATGCAATTATCACACCTTTTTTTTTTTTTTCCCCCATCAAACCCTCTTCCATTGACTTCGTCTGCTTCTTCCGAATTGAAATCCTCCCACCCTCCTCGTCCTTCGCTCCCGTACCCCCACTCCCTTCTCAGCACCCTACAGCACGCCTGAAGGAAAGCAGCTATACCAGGACCGGTCACCAATCAAGCACGTTGACAAGCTCGCATGCCCTTTGCTGCTGCTGCAAGGACTTAAAGACCAGGTACGAGGACACTTGCACGGCTCACAGACCAGGTTCAGTGAATCGGAAGGCGAAAAGTCCAGGTGCAGTGAGGCTGAGGGGCTTAAAAGACCAGGTACAGTAAATTTGACGGGCTTAATTACCAGGTATGATGGAGATTCGCGTTCAATAAAGTGGGGTGCAGCAAATCTAATGGCACGAATGCCAGCCGCGGTGAGTGAATTTGGGGGGCTGAACCCCCAGGTCACGAGTCAAGGCCAAGGGCCTGCCTGCCTGCCGCACGTTTCCCACTCTCCACTCGAATCTCTCCTTCCCGTCTCCACACCCTCATTGCTAGGTCGTGAGCCCTGATCAAGCTCGTGCTATGCGCGCTGCAGTGAGGGCCAAGGGCCTGCTTGTCTGCATCTAGGCATGTTAGATACTCCCATCCCTTCTCTTGCTTCCCATCCCACTCCCCTTCACTAGGTTGTGAGCCCTGACCAAGCCCGTGCCATGCATGCTGCAGTGAAGGCCAAGGGTCTGCCCGTTGCTATTGTTGAGTTCCCAGACGAAGACCATGGCTTCCGCAATGTGAGTGCGTGTGACTGTAATGGGGACAATGGGCTTAAACATATGTGATTATGGCTTAGGATTCAAAGGCATGTATGCTGGACTGAGGGTGAAGGGTCTGCCTGTTCCTCTTGTTGAGTCTCTCAATTCAGACCATGGCTTCTGTCAAGAGAGTACAACGAGGCGAAAGTGAGACTACATGGTTTACAACCCCTTATCTCCTAATGCTTACTCTGCCAAACTAGGACTGCCTCTACTCTGCGCCTCGATCTGCATTTCTTACCCACTTTGCTTCACCTATTCGAACTGTGTTCCCTTTTGCATATACTGCCCACTGGTCTTTTCTATGGTTACGTGGTAACATGGCAGGCGGACAACATCCAGGCACACTGGAGACGGATCACGAGTTCGTCTGCCGTGTGTTTCTGAATCTGCCTCTTCCTCCTCTGCCTCTCCCTCACATGGTTACGTGGTAACATGGCAGGCAGACAACATCAAGGCAGCATTGGAGATGGAGCATGAGTTCTTCTGCCGTGTGCTGCTCAATCTGCCGCTTCCTCCCAGCAAGAGGCGGCTGACCATTGCCAACTTCGATGAGGACACCTGAACAGTAATGGCCATTCCTAGACCTCGTCACCTCGCATCAGAGTCCTGAGTCCAGACCCACCTCACATTTGATGTACAGTACTGGGCGGTTAAAACTTTTGGCTCAACAGAGAGTTTCAGCTTGGTGCGTCACAATTTTGACTTTAGGTGGGGTCTGACACGAGGGCTTTGGAATTCGCTGACTATTGTTATTTGGTAACATGGCAGGCAAATTGAGTGTATCCAAGCAGTGTGGCATAGTGAAAGCTTCTCAGCCGACCATCAGCTGAGTTTGGCAAAGGGAGTCCCACCCAGCCCAGTGTGACTGATGTTCAGTTACTAAACAAGAGCAAGCTATTAACTTATCAACTTATCAGCCATGCCTCAGCAGCACCAGCAGCTATTCACATTATGAGAAAGAATGGCACCATTTATACACAGAACGCGAATAGAAAGCCACCAGCATCAGTCTCGTTCGTACATTATGAGTCTTTCTTGGACTCAACAGAGCCATTCACTGAACTCCCGCCACCATTTGCCAGAACTGGCTCAGCCTCCTGCAAGGCAACAATGCAATTGGAGAATTGGGAGGAAGGGCGGAGTGGTTGGCTTTCCTGGAAAGTACCAGAGGATTAAACGGAGGGGAGGCAAAGCGTGAGACGGAGTGCGTTTCAAGGGCGGAACACGGAGGGGGAGAGGGAAGGGGGAGAAGGGAAGGGGGGAGGTGAGAGAGGGACGAGGGAAAAAAGGAGAGTGGGAATGGGAGGGACAGAAAAGAGAGGCTCTCTCACTGGTTGTGGCTTGTTTGCTCCTGGTTTGTAAGGGCACGAGGGTCCGTCTCGAAGCGCGGGTTTGTACTCTCGGCCAATCAGACGGAAGACGAGCACCTGCAGGGAGGGCGGACGGCATCAGGAGAAGGACGGAAATAAGGGGACGGCGCAAGAGAGGAGCAGCGCACAGAACGATTGTCGAAGAACGATTGACGTACGAAGATGGACAGTAGAACGATTGACTGAAGACGAGGTCACTAACTGATACGAATAAGGGACGAGTCAGCTTGTATCAGTAGCAATCGACGCTGAAGGCAAGCGGAGAAATTCGGTGGTTGGTTGTCAGCACCAGCGGCTTACCAGTAGTTTGTCCCACAAACGCGGGAGGATGTTGACTAGAGGTAGCAGGAAGAGAGGGAGAAGACAGAATACGCAAACCTGCAGCGAAGAGGATAAAGAGTCAGGCATGGTTGATTCAGACAGAGGAAGGGAGGCACCAGCTCTCAGCAAAGCATGAAACGACCGAATTCAGCGTAAGAAGAGGGCTCCACGCAAACATGTACCATGATTGCCGAGGCTTAGCTGAAAGCAGTCAGCCGTCTGATAAGCAGGGACTTCCAAAAAAATGAGCACTGGAGATCAACGGCCTTGGAGAACGATGCGTGACGAAGTAGAGTCAGGAACCTAGAAAGTAGATCGGCAATTCTCAAGCCAAGCGTCAGTAGAAATCACTGAAACGATACCTACTACAGCTTGGAGGTTCTAGTGGTGGAGTGCAACTATACCGGAGCCTTAGGGCGTGTATAAAGTAAACGGACAGCGCTTTATAAATTGTTTTGACATCACTCAGCGACGTCCGCGCGACGTCACATTTGCTTATTCTGAGGGCTACACAAGCACATTGAACAATGACGAAATGCGAAACACACGGGAAACGTTTTTTAGGGTGCCGAAACCAAGGGTCATGACAAAAAAGGATTGCAATAAAAGAATGCTGCAACGCGCGAAACAAATGCAGGGATTGCAAATCGCATTCGATGTGCTGGCACTCCACTTGCGGAGATTCCTTTCTCGCGATCTGGTTCGTGCTTTCGTTGCATGTTTGGTTTTGTTTTTTCGACTCCTGCCCACGCTCATGGCTTTGGGCAGCGCAAAATGTGCCGGGACGTCAGTTCGGACCTCCTATTTTTCCTTGAACACTGACAGTGCGTCTACAGTTGCTGCTGTATGTGGTAACCACACTAAGCCGTCGCTAACTTCCCGGGACGTCACTCTCGGTTTCACTTTATCCGCGCCCTACAACACTGTTTTGTCGGTCAGGAGCCTGCCAGAAGCTTCGTCTGTCATGACTCGATAAGGTGTTTTTCGAGATAAGCAAATTCACAGTTTGCACTGCATTCCGTATAAGTTATTTGATGAAGGTTGGATTATGGGCACTAGCGTATGAAGAACTTGTTCTTTATGTCAAAGCAAATTGAGATTTTAAAGGACTAGTTGCGTGGTATAGTTTTCTTCATCCTCCCTATGACGCGTATGCTTCCTTGCGTCGGTTGCTGATCCTCCTGGTAACCACATCGCATCTCTTAGTCGTTACATAAATCAGACAAACTTTCAGTTACCTTCGATTCTCTGACAATCCAATTACTGTAAGGAATTTTCCATTCCTTAGCGCGTTTCATCGCTATCGCGTACACCAAACCGACACATCTCGAAACTCGGTCCTAGCTTCGGTCCGAACGCGTCATTCCGAAGCGCTCCGCGTCTTCGGATGCTTTCTCCGAATCTGTTCAATCATGCGGCTAGGATTGCTCTTGTGTTCCTATATCTTGCCTTGCCAATCCATTGTACGACATTTGCAGAGTTTTCTGCCATAACGGGAGCTTCTGCGGAAGTGCCTGACGCAGATAGAGCTACTCTAGCTTTGTGGTTAAGGCCTCAGAAAGTCAGGTCAAACAGGCATGAAAGCCTGTATATCATGGTGTTTTCTATGGCATACCCTGATTTTTCAGGTTTTGATTTTTATCAAACCTGAAATTTATGCCTTCCAATTTTCTAAGGCCTGAAAAATAGTATTTTCTTGTTTTTGGTTCTCCTCACTTAGCGATGGCAGAATTTCCAATTCGTTGTGTTCGCCTTCTGCGATGAGTGCACGTGCTGTTACGAAAAGCATACACATTTCTCTCTTTGATGCTCCTTCCCAAAACTTCAAGTTCGTCGTGTTCGCCTTCTACAGTACGTGCACGTGCTATCACGAAAAGAATCTACATGCGTACGTGCTGCTGCATAAATAATCTATCTTTCTCCTTGATGCGCCCTCTCAAAACTGCCAGTCCGTCCCATTGCTGCAACGGGAAGGTAATTTCACGGCAATAGTTGGGAGTATCAAATCCCGTTTGGCTACCTTTCTACTTTCTTCTTCTTGCAGTCATACTGGTTAATTTGGCGGAGCACATAAACGCGCATGTTGCTCACAACTGGAAGAGATTTTCCTGCCAGATCTACTTTGACCAATACGGGCTCTTCATGTCAGTGCTCTTCTCAGGCCCGATACTTGTCATCGGGATTGTCATTCTGGGAAGCAGGAAGGGTGTTTCTGAAGTGCAAAATAAGTGTCGGATCGGCCCAAGTCGGCTCTTTTCAAGCTGAATTCTTGTCTTAGGGATTGTCATTTTGGTGAGTAGGGATCAAGTGTATGTGTTGGAGGTAAGTGCCAGGTTGACCCAAGTCCAGGTTCAGATTTCTCGTCTCTTCCCAGGCCCCATTCGTACCATCAGGATTTTCATTTTGAAGCTGGCCAAAAGCCAAATTTGTCATTCTAGTATCAAGATTGAAGTGTCTGTTATCCAGGAGTTTCAATTTGAATCAAGTCAGCTCATTTTTGGCCCCATTCGTGCCGTCGGGATTGTCAGCCAGGCACCAGGACTGAAGTATCTGTTACACAGGTAAGTTTCAGGTTGATTCAAGTCAGCCTTTTTCAGACTCGATGCTTTTGGGATTGCCATTCTCGTGCGTCCTGGAGTCATTCATCAGCCGTTTTTCTCCTTCTAGCCCAATCTGTCATGAAATGTACTTGCACAGTGTTGGCGTTTTGCTGCTTTATTTTTATTCTTTTACCTATACAATCTCCAGAGAGTTTTCATGGAAAGAGACAAAATTGGTGAGTGCGGATGAACTGATGGTGTTGTGGAAGAGAGCAGAGCTTACCCTCTTTCCTCCCATCCCATTACCCCCCCTCCTCCCGCTCTTGACTGCGCATATGCACATGTGCAGGTACAACCAATAGGGAGCAGTGTTGAATGGTTGTGACGTGGAATTCATGAATGCTTGACCCCAGTCTTGCTCCCATCCTACACCCATCCCTCTCTCTCTCTCTCTCTCTCTCTCTCTCTCTCTCTCTCTCTCTCTCCCTCTCTCTCTCTCTCTCTCTCTCTCTCTCTCTCTCTCTCTCTCTCTCTCTCTCTCTCTCTCTCTCTCTCTCTCTCTCTTGTGTTCGCGTGTGCGAATGGTGAGAGTTCGGTTGAATGACCAGTCGGTGAAATGGAACAGAGCACAGCTCACCCTTTCTCCCCCTGTCGTATTTTTCTCCCTCCTCCTTTTCCTCCTCTGCCTCTGTGTGTGTGCATGCAGGTACAATTAATGGTGAGCATGGTAGAATTGATGGTGAAGTAGAAGAGAGCGGAGCTCAAGCACAGGGCGAGAAAGGCAGCAGAGCAAGAGAGGAGAAAAAGAGAGTAGGTGCTATCAGCATGGTGGTGGTCAGACCGAGATGTTGTCTTCTGAAATAGATGGTGATGGTGCAAGATGCCTGCATTGCGCTATGCAGCTTTAGGAGATAGCATTACGATGGAGAGTTGTGTTGCCCTGAATGTTGTCATGCAATCATTCAAAGTGCTTTTCCTTAAGAGGGTAAAATTCTCCGATATTTGGAGAACCACCTAATGAAATTATGGAACCACCTGCCAAGGTACCAGGCCCACCGAAACTATGGATTCACCAGACTAGATGAGCCATTCTAATGTGATGGACTATCATCCGAGAGTTGATATATATTTCTGCTAGGTGTATATGAACTATAGCCTAACTAGGTTCTTTTCTTACTGTGGAGTTGCAGTGTGTTGATTGCGTCCTCACCCCCCGTACCTTGCCGTCCCTTAACGCACGGCCGAAGGCCGCGCCGCAAGCGACGGCCGCCGAAGGCGGCCGGCGCGAGCCGCCACCAAAGCAGAAGCAATGGAACAACTGAAAACTAAACACGCAGGAGAGGGAGCCAAGGGCTTTAGTAGCTAGCTAAGGGAGGCAAGGGCTCAGGTGCTCCTTTCCTTTCTCTTCGCCACCAAAGCAAAAGCAATGGACGAACCCTTCCCCCTCTCCTCCCCATCCATTCCCCCTCTCCTCGCCATCCCTTCCCCCTCTCCTCGCCATCCCTTCCCCCTCTCCTCGCCATCCGTTCCCCCTCTACTCGCCATCCGTGCCCCCTCTCCTCGCCATCCGTTCCCCCTCTCCTCGCCATCTGTTTCCCCTCTCCTCGCCATCCGCTCCCCCTCTCCTCGCCATCCGTTCCCCCTCTCCTCGCCATCCGTTCCCCCTCTCCTCGCCATCCATGCGTGTCGTTTTAAATTAGACCATATACTTGCGCTTCGCCACGAGGCCTACTGGTGGGTCTCACTGCAAGAGCACTTCGCAAACTACGGCGGGCACAGTGTCTTTTACGCATATTTTATATTGTCCCTCTGTGGACGTCGATATTACGTATTTGGGTCGCCTTTTCGATGCGCGGGCGCTATTTTGGGTTGCGGAGAAACTTATAGCAATCAATCGAAAAAGTTTTTTTGTTTTCACTCGATTTTTCCAATCTTTAAAATAGTAAATATATATTTTTGTCAATCCATAAGAAACACCAAATACACCACACTGGTGTATAGTAATATACACCATAGATGTAATATTGTAACTGATTTTTATGGTAGACCAAAATAATAATAATATTTTTTAGTTTGCTTGGATATTGGTTTCTTACGAAAAAAAAAAAACTTACTTTGAATCCAATGTTCTTTCTGTACGGAAGTAAAGTTGTATGAAGCATTGGAAAACAAATCGATGTATATCTGTTTTCCATAACTCTTTCTTCTTATTTTTTACATAAAAAAAAAAAAAACTACCCCTCCCCTGTGCTAGCATGAAAAACCTGTATTGTGATCCTCTCTTGAAGATTGAAAATATGTGCACATATTTTCAATTGACGCTCAAAATACAAATAACCGAGGAACGAATAGAAAACAAATGTCGATCATTTGTTTCCCACCATTTCCTGTCTTTTTTCTTCCTAGAAAAAAATGCCACTTAACTATCGCTTCCCCAGTGCTAGCATGGGGGGGGGGTCAATATGTAGATAGAGACTAAACAACACAGTTTGTGAATTCCAAAAAAATGATTGCACTCATCACTTCCAGTTCAAATGACTGCACTCACAGAGCGTGTCAAGAACCCTAAATGAAATGATACCGTAATCCCCCGGATTTAGACGCATCCCTTTATTTGGCCCATTGCACTTATGGAATGCAAGTGCGCTTATATCCGTTATTTTATTATAAGCGCGCCCATATTTTAAAAAATGTATTTCCTATAGGCGCATCACTTTTTGTATAAACTTATTTTAAACGGGATATTTATATATCGGAGTCTTTGCCGTGCCCCTCCCGAGCGCCTC